CTGTATCAGTGTGTGTGTTGTGAATTGTGTTGTCCTATCGTCTGTCTAAATAAATGCAAAAAAAGTCAGATCTAAAATTATTTTCGCCCTCCTGTGGTGATTTGTATGAATCACACCGTTGCAAATAAAGTCTAAAAAACATAAAAGTGTCGCCCTCCTGTGGTGATTTGTATGAAGCACACCGTTGCAAATAAAGTCTAAAAACTGCGCCCTCCTGTGGTGATTTGTGTGAATTACATATAGAGAGCAAAAGAAAAGTGATGATTTGTGTGAATCACACCGTTGCAAACCGACTCCGATGGAGTTTAATAAACATAAGTGTTTCGCCCTCCTGTGGTGATTTGTGTGAATTTTACACCACTGCCAATTTCCTCTCTGTTCTGTCCTTCTGTTAAAATACATACAAACATTCATTAAAGTGGAGGAAAATCAACAAACCACAAAGCCAGAGATCATTCATGCAATTAAACACACAAAACTGAAATATTGAAACAAAACTGCAATCATAATTGTCATTGAGAACTTTATTAATTCTTCAAACTCAAACTGATAAACACATAACATGTAAGTAACCCTATTTGCTTATTTCTTTTAGAAAGTCCATCACACCTGCCTGGAAGTTTCAAGTAACCCTGAAGACCTTGATGATCTGCTTCAGGTGTTTTTCATCAGGTTGGAGCTAAACTCAGGAAAGTGTCTCACCAGGAGCAGGATCGGACACAATTTTACTCTCTTTGCATCTACTGCTGTTTTTAAATGGAAATGCAGAAACACTTATTATTGTCCACAGGGGGAGCAGCTGACACACAAATCCATCTCACTCCCGTGTCTGTTATATTCATCAGGAAATTAAAACACAAGTCTTAGTTTGTTATAGGCAGCAGTGATTAGTTTGTAGATTACATAAAATACTTGTCAAATGTAATGTTGATACAGGCTTTAATGAAGGATATTTATTTAATCAAATAACCAATAAATGTATGAAGAGTGATTAATCCCTCCATCCAGTCATGGCCAGCCACGGTTTAAACCTGTGTTAGGACATTGTCTTTCTATTTCTATGTAAATCAGTTAGGCTGACTTTACAACCCTCTAACATATATTTTCCCCTGCTCACTGTCGCCCTCCTCCATCCATATACAAGCCACAGCTTCAGACAGAGGACTCGGAGCAGTAGTGCATTGAGAAGCGCTGAGTACTTTTCTGAAATGCACTTTCTGTAAAGCTTCTTTGAAACAATATGTATGTGTTGGCCAGAGGAGGACTGGCCCCAACTGAGCCTGGGTTCTCCCAAGGTTTTTCTCCATCCAATCACCTGATGGAGTTTTGGTTCCTTGCCACTGTTGCCTTGCTTTTGTTTGCTTAGTTGGGGACATTTAATGTTCAACAACATTATTGATCTGTGTTGTATTACTTTCATGTTATCACTGTGAAGCTGCTTTGATACAATCTGTATTGTAAAAAGCACTATATAAATAAATGTGACTTTGAGAAATTGACTTGACTTGAGTCTCAGACTCTCCTCAAGGAGGAGCCGGTGAATCATCTGATCTCCTGCTGTGGTAACCAGTTACAAGATTCAACAGGATTGAGAACATTAGCATTATGACAATATATGTCATTTAACAGTCATTTTAATACACATTCAAAAACTGCTTAGTGATTCGATAACTTCGATAAGTGATTCAGAGCAAGTATCAAACTGCCAAAGTCATGTGAGTGATCTCTGCAAATCCATGAACCAGCGTCTAAATGTTTTTTTTTTTTTTTTTTTTTACCTGATCTCGGATCAGTTTTATAAATATGTAGATATTTAATGACACCAGCATATATGAGCCGTAACATTTTAGACACTATAAACTGATGGTGGTGACTCTCAATAGCACTATAAAGCAGTTAAGAAATGCTCTCTAACGTCATCACATGAAAGACAATTCAAATAAACAACAGACAAAACATTTTCAAAGTAAATCATGAACTGATCAGTAAAGGTGCACAGTAAGGCCATCTGTGATTTATTTATGCTCTAGTCGGATCTGGAATTTAAAAATTTCCAAATTAGTTTCAAGTTTTAATTACAAGTTTCCCGTGACTTTTTACATCTTTTCAAATAACAAACAAGCATTATCATTATTATCATTGTTAAAAAAAAACATCAACAATAAGACCAAGCAGCATATCGTAAAAAGAGCATTTAACGCTAATTTAAGATAACAAACTTGAGATGAGTGAGAATTCAAAATATAATTCAATAAATACAATATATTTAGATTTTTTTTTACATGTACACCCGCTTCAACGCATGAATAAATAGAGGAATGCGTTTAATTAATTTATAGTGAAAAAAATATGTATGCGTCAACAGTGGATTCAAACTTTAGATGTAGATGCGTGTCGAATGTGCGAACGGTGAATCGTAATTAGGCTCAGACACGTTTCTGTGTGACACGTCATTTAGTAGCTCGAGCACGGAAGTGTTTCCACGGATTTTCCGTCAGAGAGACAGCGTTGATATAGTTTTTCATCTAAAATGGGTAAGTTAGATCTACGTGATTTAAAACATATTCTGTTGGATATTATAGACCGCTTATGCATCTATCTTAAAGTTTAATTTAACGGCACGCCTTTTTACGTTCTTACAAAGGGACGTTTGTTCATCACGTTGATGATGCTAGTTTGTTAGCATTGCGGATAACTAAATTCATGATAGTGGAAAAAGTCATTGTAAAACAGTTTTGTTTTCAAAATTAATACGTGTTTTCTTCGACTGTGTTTGGTGTCAATCCTATGTGCGTTAAGTATTATGGTCGTGTTGATTTAACATGGTGTTGAACGTTGGACATTTTTTCTGAATCTCTAACTTATTTAAAAAAAATGATTCACTTTTTATTATAGGGGGGTTCTTTTCCAGCCTGTTCTCTGGCCTGTTTGGCACCAGAGAAATGAGAATCCTCATTTGGGTCTGGATGGAGCAGGAAAAACCACCATATTGTACAGACTTCAAGTGGGAGAAGTGCGTCACAACAATTCCTAGTATGTGTTTATGACCGATTTATATACACAACTTTTGACTTGTCTTGTCTTGATGTACTGGGGACTAATTTGCCTTTTTTCAACTCAGCAATTGGATTTAATGTGGAGACTGTTACATACAAGAACTTGAAGTTTCAAGTATGGGACCTCGGTGGACAGACGAGTATCAGGCAAGAAGTTATTTCTTTTGCGGTGTATTCTATGAAGATAAACCAAGCTGAAGATGTGATCACTGATGTTCTTCCTCCGCAGGCCATACTGGCGGTGCTACTACTCCAACACAGACGCAGTGATTTACGTGGTGGACAGCAGTGACCGCGACCGGATGGGAATCTCCAAATCTGAGCTGGTGGCCATGTTGGAGGTTGGTTAGATGTGGTTTACATTACATCACGTTCTATTGTTATCAGAGCATTTAAACATGATATTTCTTGTCTTTCAGGAGGAGGAGCTAAAGAAAGCCATCCTGGTGGTGTTTGCAAACAAGCAGGACATGGAACAGGCCATGACCCCTACTGAAGTGGCCAACTCTCTCGGTTTACCTGCGCTCAAAGACCGGAAATGGCAGATCTTCAAGACATCTGCTACTAAAGGCACAGGCCTGGATGAGGCCAATGGAATGGTAGGGTTAATTTCCTTTTTAAACATTTAAATACAAATATTTGCATTGTGTTTACCAAATATTGTTTTTTATTTCAGCTTTTAAATACCACCTTGTTCTTTCATTTCAGGCTGGAGTCACTGAAGAGCCGGCAGTAAATGCACTAAAAATCTTGTATATAGGAACTTCAGAGACTTCTTATGGGTGTCCTTTGGACCAGTGACTGCTTCTTCCTATTGTGTGAAGACCATCCTCTCTCCTGCCTAGTGCAGAGACCGAAGTGAGGCGAGTGGCATTGAATGGACTATGAAACGAAACTCTTCAATGTTTTCCCCCTTTGCTTATCATTTATGGTGAACCATATCCACTACATTCGAAATCTCAAAGGTGTTTGTTTTTTAAATTTAGCCTTTTTTCCCCCTGATTTTGAATCGTTGCAGCTGGTATATGATTTCAGTTTTAATATTATATTTAATGGGTAGATATTTAATTAAGACTAACTTGTCATTTGTACGCTTTGGATTTGTAATGGCATATTTATATTTGCACGTGTACAGGGGAGCACACTCCTGTGTTGTGGCTGTGAAATAAATATGCAGTCAACACATTACATCAAGCATAACATCAACCAATGGCTGCGGTGTTTTTGCAAATTTTTTTACTTAAAAACGTTGGACAAATCAATATATATGTCGACTCACAGTCGACCCCTTACCACTGAAAACAGGGTTCAGGTAACATTCCCAGGGTCCCTCGCAGTCTCCCTCTCTGCTCTGCTGATACATTTGAAGTATTTAGTTTGCAAAAAAAAAAAAAAAAAACATTAAACAGCAGCAAAAATGGATCAACTGAGCATGGCCAAGTTCCTCAATGAGCTGCTCTTAGGTTTCTTTGCTTTATGTCCTGTACGCACAAACTCCATTTTCCTCTTTTTGGCCTCGTTTTTCTTTAACTGCTTCTTTACCTTCTTTCTTGCAGCAATGTCAGGATTTACAACAGCCTGTTGGGGGGGGGGGAGAATATGGTTTACGAAATTGAATATGATCACTATTTCACTTTTACTTCTGCTATAAAGAGCCTGCCTAACCTGGAAATTAACCCAACAAATGTTTAAGGCCCTTTCACATCAAGAGTTACAACCAAAATAATGTCCAACAGACAATAACGTTCTGTTTATTGTAAGTGCAAGCTCCAGTTTTGTTGTCTACCACTTTAAATGTGCAAAAACTTTAAAGCTTTCATCAGCTGAAAAATATCATTGTGATAATGATTCCAGTGATATTGTTATAGTTGTAATGTGGACTGCTTTTGTTTTAAATTTAGAGTGATTTTTAAAACCAAATCATTATTTCTTGTCCTTGGTGTGAATGGGCCTTTTACGTGTCTGTAAATAGTAGAGGAGGAAATATTTAATTGAAGACGAACACAAACGTCCTGGGAACACTTGAGCAGTATTTAGGAAGTTCTCTGGTTCTTACCTGCACAGCCTTTGACTTTCTTGCGTGAAGCTCGTCTCTGGGCGGCTTCTTTCTGCACCGCTGCAAAAGCCAGAGAGAATTGCTGCAGACCGACCATCTTCTTCAACAGCTCGATCAACTCCTGAGCCAGGTTCTTCAGCGTGGGGTCTGAAAGAAGACAAAGACCCGAACCATTCATGAAAGGCAGTTTCAGCCATTATAGTCACTTGTAGAGGGAATGAAATTCTAATTTATATTCATATCTTATTTTACTTTCAATTATATCAGCATGTTGATGAGGTTTAAAAAGATTACATTTAAAAAAATATATATAATTTAGTTTCAAGTTGTTGTTTTTAAGTTATTCACAATTATTATTTTATTGCAGCTAATTTTTTCGTTTTCTTAACACTACAACAACGTAAGCATGACTTTAACTAACAAAACAATAAGCAATTAGATTTTTTCATGAACTAATATTACTAAGCACT